GCTTTGAAGGTTCTCCACCCATTTGACTCTCACCTTTTGCAGCTGGGCTTTAAATTCCCGAACTCTGCCTTTCGAAATAACTGAATTCCCTACAGTCAAACCAGTATAATATGTCTACCCATTGTCAAGGGGAAAAGTTATCATTTAAGACAGCTGGTCTACTTGGACAGTGTCTTTATAATATAGAAAAAAGCAAGGGGAGGAGATTGAAGTGGATTTTTATAAAATATAGATGATTTTCTTAGACATGTGGTCGAGAAGGCAGGTTTGAATGTACATTATGTACTTTAGGTCGACTATAACAATGAATTATATTGAAAGGAGCATTAAGCCCCAACGTGCACAAGTGCTCATCTCGCTCTGTTATATCAATCTGCTTTTATTCAGTGACAGCAAAAGATTAATTCCAAGTGGGTGATTGGCAGGTGCTCTGGTGTGGTTTGCTTCTTCTTTCCTATCAAACGTCTATTGTCTTTATCTTCCCTCCTTCTTTTTTGTGTTTGTTACTCTCTTGCAACACTTCTAATCTTCGGCACTTATATGACCTTTTTGTGTTGCAAGAGCTGCAAAACACTTTCTAAAACTAAAAACTAAATTAATTCCAATCCTTTTCTCCTCACTTTTCAGAGTAAATTGATTGCCACTGCTGCTCGAGATTTGATTGACATCATCTTCAAACCCAAAAAAACAAGATGTCAGGTACGGTGTCACTCATATTAATTGTGGATAGGTAATTAATGTTTGACCTTTTTAATGCAAGTAGCAAGAGAATTTGAATGTTTAAATACATAAATGTCATTTTAACTCTTTTGATGAGGTAGGGTTGACTTTTATATCTTTGCCATGATCTGAAGGTAGTTTAAGAGGGAAGTTTGGCAAAGGGTTTTCTGGCGTAGTGTAATGGTTAAACTCTTCATCATTGCGTGCAAATGGCATAAGTTTGATTCCCAAATTCGGAAATTTTTTGTTCTTAAATTTTATTTCATTTTAATTCCATATCTACATTTTTATGAAGGGATGTGCAAGGGCTCAGCCCGTGTTAGCCCTGACATACAGAGTTGGAGCAGCTCACCTCCTGAATAACTTGTATTGTGTCAATGGGAGTATGAAACATTTAAAAGTACAATTAATTCTGCAGTGGTCAGTTATCTTCTAAGAAAAGGGGATGTTCTCTCAATTCTGTTCTCTTAAGACTTGAACACACTGTTATTATTGAATTTTAATGAAAGTAATATATGATTAAAAATGGTTTTGTATACTTGCATGTGTTTTTACGGTCCTGTACAGCCAAGGAAAATTTCCCTCTGGGATAATAAAGTACTATCTTATCTTATCTTTTATCTTCTCTTATAAATATATATATATATATATTATCTTATGTGTGAAAATCTCTTATTGTGTCGAGAAGTGCATTTATCTCTTTCAAGAATATAAACACTACCTATATGTGGCTTCATTTCTCTTGTTGTCTACTCCGCAGGACTTGTAAAAGCCAAGAAGTATGACTGGAAAGATTCAAATTTGGCCTTGTTTGGATCAGATGTAGAGAAAAATGTAAAGAGTAAGTTCACCTTTTATGATGCATATAATTCAACCATGTTTTGCAGAAAACTGTGATTGAGTTTGGATATTCTCTCCCCCCCTCTCCCACCTTCCCCCAAATTCCACAGTGTTTCCTGTCTTCATCTTCTTTCTCCTCCTCCTCCTCCTCCTCCTCCTATTCCTCCCCCCCTCTTTCATCTTGTCTTATCCCTTCTTCATCATCCTCCTTCTTTTCCTCCCTCCTCTTTCTTCTCCTCCCCCTCCTCCTCTTCCTGGATACTTCAACCAGTACTATATAAAACAATCATCATCATCATCATCATCATCATCATCATCATCATCATCATCATCATCGACATTGTCACGTCACCATCATTATCAGTTAGTGCCATCTGTATGAGAATGATAACCAGTTGACACTGGAAAATCTTGTCAATAGCTTGAATTCTTTTTTTTTTTTTTTTACTATTACTTTAATTGTTCAATGAATGAGTAGTACAGTACATTTTCTCCCAAGTTTTTTACATGCATGAATTTAAGTCTTTTTAAAATGTCAGGGTGTGAAGACTGTGAGAGTTTTTACGTTTTAATGGAGATTAGTTTTATCTTTTCTGAGGGACAGGTATGTAGTTTTATACTAGAATTAATTTGTTTTCTTCTTTTTCTCTGTTTTGTGTAGAGGAATCGGCAGAACAAGAACCAGCGTGGAAAAATGCTGGCAGTCAAGTGGGAATACAGATCTGGAGAATTGTGGTATGCTTTTAGAAACTGTTCCGGATCACTTTGGAGCATCAGACTCAACTCAAATGTTTGCCCCCCCCCAAAAAAAGAGAGAGTCATTAAGATAAAAATCCAGACAAAAATATCGCTACCGGCATGTGGAAATAGTTCACTGGAGTATTTTTTTGTGGGAGAAGTTTGAGGTTCTGAAGCTTAAACATTTGAGCAAGAGGAGGGCATCATGTAAGATCTTGACCATCTGGAAAGAAAGTATAAATTTATCATCTAAACTATATTTGACATCTAAATTAGTTGTGTAACAAAATGAATCGACCCTGAAAAGAATAATTTAAGGTTGGCAGAATATTAGGAGGGTCAGGTTATGAATGTCTCTCTGGTTGTTATTGATTTACTGTAACATTGTAGGGCCTACATGATCTTAGCAAGGTTTAAACTTTGAATTTGAAGACTTCTTTCTCATTTTTTAAAGAAGAATGAGATATACTTTAGTGGTTAGCCTACCAGACTCATAATCGTGAGATTGCGGGTCCGGGGATTCAAACCTCAGCTCAGTCCAATGTTTTGTCCTTAGGAAAGGCAATTTACATGAATTTCCCATTTGGTTCGGTCCTTTCGGAGATGGATGTTAAACTCGGAGATCTTGCCTCTTAAATAACCTAGTAGTGTTAACAGGGGCGTTAAATGTATACCATTTGATTTTGATTTGAGATATACTTTGTCTTTGTTCAGAGCATCAATTGAGTGTGACAATATTGCAATAATGTATAAAATATTCCTTTATACAGAGTTTTCCAAATTTCTGTGGATGCTAACCATGTTTCAATAACAATTGAAGCCGAGCATTTACTAATAATATCTATTGTTGTCATCATCCTCTTTTAGAAATTCAAGGTTCAGCCATGGCCCAAAGAGGATTACGGAAAGTTCTTCGAAGGAGATTCATACATCATTCTGAACGTAAGTCTTATCTTTCAATTGTTATTTTGTTTTGCTCTGGATTTTTTTAATTCTTTTGATGCGTACTGTAGATTTTGCTTTTATTTAACCCCCTTATTCATTTTTGGACGGGTTTTTTTTTTTTACTTTAATTCTTTGATTGTTTCATTAAGTTTTTTGTTTGTTTGTTTTTTAATGTGAAGGATACATCAAGGCTTCTATTTCAGAGCATGTTTAATTGATATGGTTCTGAGTTGTTGGATATTGCTGTCCTTTCATGGGCACATTCGTGTTAGCAATTTGATATGACCACTTGAACAGCACTTTATGGAGGTATGGGGTTTTAGGAAGAGAGTCCTACCAATCAATTTGAAGACTTTTGGCCTGTTTATTTTATGGAGTTCTTTTGTTTCAATTCAGTTTTTGTACTGTATTTTTTAATTTTTTAATTTCATAGATCATTTTTTTCCTTATTCTTTAATTAACTTCAATATTTGTGTTTTTTAATCTTTTAATTGATTACCACTTGTTTACTTTTGGTTGCGGTATGTGTGACATCCTAATTTGCGCTTTAATGTACTTACTAACCCTTCTAGACTTATTATGATGAAGAGGAAGCAGTAAGTTTTATATATTGTTAAATGTCTTGGTGTCCATGTAAACTGTTGTTCTCAAACATTCTTTCTGTCTTCTTACTCATTGTTTTGAGAACTCATTTTAGCATAATTCCCCATTGAATGTACCTGAGATCCTTCCAGTGTTGTTTCTTTTTTGTTCTATTAACAGTCACCTAAAGTTTGGGAATCATAATATGTCATTTTAAGAATTACTTTTATGTGATGTAATTATATTGTGAACGTACACTGTGGTTTGTCTGCTTCTGAGTGTCCTTAAACACACACACGCGCACACGCGCACACGTGCACACGCACACACACACACACACA